TGCATGTCTTCAATCAATTATTAATTGCATCATCATTTTGCATGTCTTTAATCAATTAATCACTGTTGTATCATTAAATTATTGCTACATCAATCATTGTTACAATAACCAATCAATTACATCACCCAATCAGTTATATTATTTAATCACTGCTATATCAGTCAATCAATACTAAACCATCTAATCATTGTTACAAGATACAATCAGTTTAACCCACTCAATCACTGTTATTTCACTCAATCATTGTTAAATCAATCACTGTTACAGCATCTATTCACAGTTACACCATTCGAATAACTTGTACACCATCTATTCATACACCATCTATTTACAATGACACAACTCAATCACCGTTACATTTTCTAGTCAGTTACACCATGCAATCATTGTTCAATCAATCATCATTACACTAATCAATCACTGTAACACCATCCAATCACCATCAGACAGTAACAATAAGTAAAAGGGGAGATGCTCACTGTGATGACCCTGCTTTGCATGGTCTCCACGAGTACATCGTGGCAAGCAGGAAGTCCATGCTACAAGTGACGGCACAAGATACTTGTGGCCGGTAGAGTAAGCGAGGCGAAGCCCGAGCTAGCCTCGTGGTCAGTCGATCATCAGAAGTCAGTGAAGACGGTTGTAGTAATTGAAGATGTAGTTTTATGTTGTGAATGGTTAGTGCTCGAATATGTCGCGAGTGAAATAAATGTTAAATAAATGGACCAGAATAAACTGACAGAATGTACAATGAAGCTGAGCGGCGTTTGTGTTGTCAACCCTAGATGTTAAAGTCGGTGTAAACCAAGGTTCATTCCAAGTAGACCAGAATCATTTCAAGATAGCTGAAAGCCTAACTTCAAGTCTACGTTTTGACTCATTTCACTCACAGGCATGAAGCACAAATAGTAACAAAAAGTAACAAACAAGGGAGATGTTAACAGACATGAAGCACAAATGGTAACAAAAAGTAACCAACAAGGGAGATGTTAAAAGACATCAGGCAAAGACAGTAGCAATAAGTAAAAGGGGAGATGCTCACAGACATGAAGCACAAATAGTAACAAAAAGTAACAAACAAGGGAAATGTTAACAGACATGAAGCACAAATGGTAACAAAAAGTAACCAACAAGGGAGATGTTAACAGACATCAGGCAAAGACAATAGCAATAAGTTAAAGGGGAGATGCTCACAGACATCAAGCACAGACAGCACCTTAGTGAACACATACAGTGCCTCAGTGCACACAGACATCAAGCTCAGACAGTGCCTTAGTGAACACATACAGTGCCTTAGTGCACACAGACATCAAGCACAGACGGTGCCTTAATGGACACAGACATCAAGCACAGAAAGTGCCTTAGTGAACACATACAGTGCCTTATCATGTAGTTCCAAGTAGGTGGTCAATCTTTGTGCGACAATTTTTTCCGAAAGTTTGCCAACAGTATTCTGCATCGAGATGATTCTATAGCCGCAGATCTTTGAGTGGTCTACATGATAAGTTCCCATCAACACTTGGAGGGTACAGGTTGAAGAAAGAGACATGGTTCAATGCTGCTGTTTTCGCCTACGATGTGTACGAGGGATTTCAGATTAAAGAAGAGACATGTGCGGCAGTGTTGGACTTAGAAGATGCCTACAATAAAGTACCATATGATTATTTAATGCAATTACTGCTTAAACTAGAAGTCAATCCTATTCTGATCCGCTGGATTGCTGCGGTCCTGTTCCAGAGAAAGATTGTACTAAGATGTGGTAGCTGGTCCTCAGAACCGCAAACGATATGTCCAGGCTTGCCATAGGGATCACCGCAATCACCAGTCTTATTCAACGTTTATACGGTGATGATCACTGAGCAGCAGTTGAATGGAAAGGGAAGGACTTTGTCATTTGCTGATGACATTTTGATTTATCGACGAGGGCGTGATAGACAGGAGGAGATCGCCAGCACAATGCACAAAGAACTCGATTGAATTGCCGCCTGGTGTGATGGTTCCAATGCCTATGTCAATCCTTCGAAGGCATCAGTGTCATGGTTCTCTTTGAACAATCACATTGTCAAGTCGGACTTACCAGAAGTGAAAATGCGTGATGTATTGATCAGAACCAATGTTATGACGTTTCTCGGGGTGAGGTTCGATCGCAGCTTGTCATTCAGGGAACACGTTGACCAAGTGATAACAAAAGCACGCAAAGGTCTATCTGCAATGAGGATTATGGCTGCTTCCAATATCGAGCAAAGACTACTAGTACTTCTATTCTACGGTCTGGTCCTTTCCCCCATTGAATACGCTCTGGCCATCCTCACTATCAGTGCTACCCAGATTGAACGACTCAAAAAGGTGCAAAATGAAGCCATGCGTATTATTTTGGGATGTACAAGAGACACATCCTGTGGAGCAATGAGGTATCTACTTGACTTTCCAACAATGAACCAAAGGATCAGGATGTGGAGGGCTCAGGCATACATCAAAATATGTGCTAATAAGAAACACCTACTGCATCAAGCGCTTTTTAGTGAAAAGGGCGACAGACTGAAGAGGGGAAAATCGTGGCTAGGTCGGGCAGAAGATGTTATTAGGCAAATATGCAGCCTAACCGACATCATACCTGGTGCAGAATGGATACCTGTGCCTCAGGCGTTTATTTGTACATTTTCCTGTATTGTCATACTCAACAGGCGATGTAGAGAAGAGAGTCCTGTTGCTGTTAATGTAGAGGTCAACGCTCTCATCGGTGAAAATTCAGACGAAGCAGATGCACTAATCTATACAGACGGATCCGTTATACGCCAAAGAAGAAGCGCATGGGCATTTACAGCACGCTCAGCGGGCAGAACAGTAAAAGAAGCCAACGGCGCCTTCTCCATGACAACCAGCAGCATGACGATGGAGGTGATGGCAGTGACGCAAGTGTTTGCCTGGCTTGAAACACAAAAATACACCTGTGTATGTATACTCAGTGATTCAATGAGTATGATCCGGAGGGTTCAGGCAGGTTCAGTGCGAAGACAATGGCTTGAATCAATTCAGAAGTCCACTGTGCGTGGAGTCACCTTTATTTTTGTTCCGGGACACGCAGGCGTCGATGGAAATGAAAGAGCTGACAGGTTGGCTGGATCCGCTATCACTATCGACGGTCAGCCTATGGATCATGCTGATATTATCAATGCCCTCAGAGAAATGGGAAGGATAGAGGACTTTGGTGGCAGTGAATCCACATCACTCGCCAGAATGGCAGACTTGGGAATTAAGATCGGCACAGCAAAAAACGAGACGCACACCGGACACGTCAGAAGACTTGTTAATCAACATAGAACTGGTACTATTAGCCATCGGACGTTGGGGTTCATACTGAGGGGAGGATCTGAGCACCTATGGACATGTCCGGAGTGCAATGAGGATAACCCAACTAACTAACTAACTAATACAGTGCCTTAGTGCACACAGACATTAAGCACAGGCAGTGCCTTAGTGAACACATACAGTGCCTTGGTGCACACAGACATTAAGCACAGACAGTGAATTAGTGAACACATACAGTGCCTCAGTGCACACACACATTAAGCTCAGACAGGGCAATAGTGAACACATACAGTGCCTTAGTGCACACAGACATCAAGCACAGACAGTGCCTTAGTAAACACATACAGTGCATTAATGCACACAGACATCAAGAACAGACAGTGTCTTAATGCACACAGACATCAAGCACAGACAGTGCCTTAGTGAACACATACAGTGCCTTAGTGCTCACAGACATCAAGCACAGACAGTGCCTTAGTGAACACATACAGTGCCTTAGTGCACACAGACATTAAGCACAGACAGTGCCTTAGTGAACACATACAGTGCCTCAGTGCACACACACATCAAGCTCAGACAGGGCAATAGTGAACACATACAGTGCCTTAGTGCACACAGACATCAAGCACAGACAGTGCCTTAGTGAACACATACAGTGCCTTAGTGCACACAGACATTAAGCACAGACAGTGTCTTAATGCACACAGACATCAAGCACAGACAGTGTTTTAGTGAACACATACAGTGCCTCAGTGCACACACACATCAAGCTCAGACAGGGCAATAGTGAACACATACAGTGCCTCAGTGCACACAGACATCAAGCACAGACAGTGCCTTAGTGAACACATACAGTGCCTTAGTGCACACAGACATTAAGCACAGACAGTGCCTTAGTGAACACATACAGTGCCTCAGTGCACACACACATTAAGCTCAGAAAGGGCAATAGTGAACACATACAGTGCCTTAGTGCACACAGACATCAAGCACAGACAGTGCCTTAGTAAACACATACAGTGCATTAATGCACACAGACATCAAGCACAGACAGTGCCTTAGTGAACACATACAGTGCCTTAGTGCACACAGACATTAAGCACAGACAGTGCTTTAGTGAACACATACAGTGCCTCAGTGCACACACACATCAAGCTCAGACAGGGCAATAGTGAACACATACAGTGCCTTAGTGCACACAAACATCAAGCACAGACAGTGCCTTAGTAAACACATACAGTGCATTAATGCACACAGACATCAAGCACAAACAGTGCACACAGACATCAAGCACAGACAGTGCTTAGTGAACACATACAGTGCCTTAATGCACACAGACATCAAGCACAGACAGTGCCTTAGTGAACACATACAGTGCCTTAGTTCACACAGACATCAAGCACAGACAGTGCCTTAGTGAACACATACAGTGCCTTAGTTCACACAGACATCAAGCACAGACAGTGCCTTAGTGCACACATACAGTGCATTAATGCACACAGACATCAAGCAGAGACAGTGCTTTAGTGCACACAGACATCAAGCACAGGCTGTGCATTAGTGAACATATACAGTGCCTTAGTGCACACAGACATATACAGTGCCTTAGTGCACACAGACATCAAACACAGTGCCTTAGTGCACACATACATCAAACATAGACAGTGCAATGGTGCACACAGACAGCTAACCTTGAGGTCATGATGAAAACATGTGGCTGATGATGCCTTCTTGGTTTGAGAATGTCCAGTACTGAACAAAGAGGTCAGTGATGGCAGTGATGCATGTCGCAGAAATCCGTCAGATCTAGACACAGCTGGAGACGATGGCAAGCTGGACCTGGTTCCCTGTCTGGCAGATGGTACAGCCACCCCGTGTGACACAGAGGGGGACCTAGCAGGTAGAGTCCCCAACCCTGCAAGATGTGGTCCTGTTGTCTTTTTAAGATCCAGTGAGCTTGGTTTTCTAGGTCTGTCCTTGAGATGGCAGATACCAGTCTCTAGGTTACTGCTGTTAACCTGGTCTTTGTTTACTGTCTCAGGCAGGAGACTGCGGTCTTTGTTTACTGTCTCAGACAGGTGACTGTTGTCTTTGTTTACTGTCTCAGACAGGTGACTGCTGTCTTTATTTACTGTCTCAGACAGGTGACTGCTGTCTTTGTTTACTGTCTCAGACAGGTGACTGTTGTCTTTATTTACTGTCTCAGACAGGTGACTGCTGTCTTTGTTTACTGTCTCAGACAGGTGACTGTTGTCTTTGTTTACTGTCTCAGACAGGTGACTGCTGTCTTTGTTTACTGTCTCAGACAGGGGACAGCTGTCTTCATAGCTACCACCAATGTAACAGCTGTCACAATCTACAGGAGACTCCATGCAGAGCTCACCGCCAGAAAAATGGGTGGCAACCACAGTCTCATCAAGTACAGCCAGTTGAGCATCTGTACTCTTGTCTGCAGGTAATCTGTTACCGCCACAGACTGAGGGTAATCTGTTACCGCCACAGACTGAGGGTAATCTGCCCTCAGGATCACAGGCTGAAGGTAATCTGTCCTCAGGATCACAGGCTGAGGGTAATCTGCCCTCAGAATCACAGTCTGATGGTAATCTGTCCTCAGGATCACAGTCTGAAGGCAATCTGTCCTCAGGATCACAGTCTGAAGGCAATCTGTCCTCAGGATCACAGACTGAAGGTAATCTGTCCTCAGGATCACAGACTGAAGGCAATCTGTCCTCAGGATCACAGACTGAAGGCAATCTGTCCTCAGGATCACAGACTGAAGGTAATCTGTTCTCAGGATCACAGACTGAAAGTAATCTGTCCTGAGGATCAGAGACAGAAGGTAATCTGCCCTCAGGATCACAGACTGAAGATAATCTGTCCTCAGGATCACAGACTGGAGGTAATCTTTCCTGAGGATCAGAGATTGAAGGTAATCTGCCCTCAGGATCACAGACTGGAGGTAATCTGTCCTCAGGATCACAGACTGGAGGTAATCTGTCCTCAGGATCACAGACTGGAGGTAATCTGTCCTCAGGATCACAGACTGGAGGTAATCTGTCCTCAGGATCACAGACTGGAGGTAATCTGTCCTCAGGATCACAGACTGGAGGTAATCTGTCCTGAGGATCAAAGATTGAAGGTAATCTACCCTCAGGATCACAGACTGAGTCTACCACTGGTGGAGTCCCAGGAATGCTGGTAACTAAGTGACCTCCATAGTTTGTGGAAGATGCATCTGAGGGCGAGATGGACTCCCAGTTGTCCCAGGATTTAGACTCTGGTAGAGACGGAGAAAATGGAGACGAGAAGGCAGTGTCAAAGGCCTGCGAGGAGGAGGATGTATGAAATGATGAGGTAACCATGGCAATATCAGAATCTAGTGAGATCTCATCCAATGGGCTTAACAATTCTGGATCACAGAGTAAGTTAGCTGCTGTGTCTGCAGGCTGTTTCCTAGCTGCTATATCTACAGGCTGTTGACTGGCTGCTTGCCCTGCAAGCTGTTCCCTAGCTGCTGTATATCCACACTGTTTACTAACTGATGTCTCTTTAGACTGTTGATTAGCTGATTGTCCCAAAAACTGTTTTCTAGGTGCCGTATCTACAAGCTGTTGACAAGATGCTGTGTCTGCAGTAAACCCTGTAGTCGCAGCATTACTAACAGGCAAGAAAGAAGACAATGAGCTGATAACATTTTGAGCCGACACATCACGGCTTGCTGGAATATATGAGGACACTTTGCTGAACATGCTCTGAGCACCTTCGACCACCATCCGAGCTCTTTCCTGCAGCTTACTCAGTCCTGCTAGTTTTGGATTAGATTCTTTCCCAGTGCCCGGTTTGACTTTAATTTCACTTCGATTAACATTTGCATTATCTTCATGTCTGTCCATAACCTGGTCAGAACATGCTGATGTTGTCTTGCTGCCCTCTACAGCAGAAGTTATCCTTCCCTGACCACAAGGAAATGCAACACTGCCCTCACATTCAAGCTGACAAAATATCTCACGTTCAGAATCAGGCGTAGCACTCTGTTCCGTTTTTTCAACAGCCAGGTCTGATGGAGTGTGCTGATGGTCCCTGGGTCCAGCTGGGTCTGGTCCTGCATGCTGGCAAGCCCTGGGTCCAGCTGGGTCTGGTCCTGCATGCTGGCAAGCCCTGGGTCCGGTCATGCTCTCTACTGGGGTGTTGTTTGCTGAGTCTGGTGACTCCAGTATGGTAACTGCTTCCTCACCCTGAGAAATCATGACCCAGTCATTGTCTGCAACTTCGTACGACTTCAGCTGTATGCTAGTGAGGCTCCGCTCCGAGTGCACATCATCCATCCGAGGTGATGCCATTGGCTGTTGCTCATCAATACCAGCATAAGCTGTGCGGTAAACCACACAAAAAAAGGTTATTTTTTCATCAATGTTTTTTTCTTCTTCATAGATCATGTTGCCTTTTGATAAACTATCATGTTACCTTTTCTTCTCTGATCATGTAACCTTTTCTTCTCTGATCATGTAACCTTTTCTTCTCTGATCATGTAACCTTTTCTTCTCTGATCATGTTATCATTTCTTCTCTGATCATGTTATCATTTCTTCTCTGATCATGTTATCATTTCTTCTCTGATCATGTTATCATTTCTTCTCTGATCATGTTACCTTTTCTTCTCTGATCATGTTACCTTTTCTTCTCTGATCATGTTATCATTTCTTCTCTGATCATGTTATCATTTCTTCTCTGATCATGTTATCATTTCTTCTCTGATCATGTTACCTTTTCTTCTCTGATCATGTTACCTTTTCTTCTCTGATCATGTAACCTTTTCTTCTCTGATCATGTTATCATTTCTTCTCTGATCATGTTATCATTTCTTCTCTGATCATGTTATCATTTCTTCTCTGATCATGTTACCTTTTCTTCTCTGATCATGTTACCTTTTCTTCTCTGATCATGTAACCTTTTCTTCTCTGATCATGTTATCATTTCTTCTCTGATCATGTTATCATTTCTTCTCTGATCATATAATCGTTTCTTCTCTGATCATGTTATCTTTTCTTCTTTGATCATATAATCTTTTCTTCTCTGATCATGTTATCATTTCTTCTCTGATGATGTTATCTTTTCTTCTTTGATCATATAATCTTTTCTTCTCTGATAATGTTATCATTTCTTCTCTGATCATGTTATCTTTTATTCTTTGATAATATAATCTTTTCTTCTCTGATCATATTACCTTTTCTTCTCTGATCATGTTACCTTTTCTTCTCTGACCATGTTACCTTTTCTTCTCTGATCATGTTATCTTTTTTTTCTCTGATCATGTTACATTTTCTTCTCTGATCATGTTACATATTCTTCTCTAATCATGTTACCTTTTCTTCTCTGATCATGTTACCTTTTCTTCTTTGATCATGCTGTTTTTTCTTCTTTGATCATGTTATCTTTTCTTCTCTGATCATGTTATCTTTTCTTCTTTGATCATGTTATCTTTTCTTCTTTGATAATGTTACATATTCTTCTCTGATCATGCTACCTTTTCTTCTCTGATCATGTTACCTTTTCTTCTTTGATCATGTTATCTTTTCTTCTCTGATCATGTTATCTTTTCTTCTTTGATAATGTTATGTTTTCTTCTTTGATCATGTTATCTTTTCTTCTTTGATCATGTTATCTTTTCTTCTTTGATCATGTTATCTTTTCTTCTTTGATCATGTTATCTTTTCTTCTTTGATCATGTTATCATTTCTTCAATAATCTTGTTACCTTTGTTTTGGTATCTGTTTGTTTTGGCACATCCCTGAGATCATCTGATTATTTTCTTGGTCATAAAATTTCTTTCTCTGTCCTTAGAGGCTATCTGTTCAGTGTATCCTAGAGGTTGTCTGTTCAGTGTATCCTAGAGGTTGTCTGTTCAGTGTATCCTAGGGGTTGTCTGTTCAGTGTATCCTAGAGGTTGTGATTTCAGTGTATCCTAGAGGTTGTCTGTTCAGTGTATCCTAGAGGCTATATGTTCAGTGTATCCTAGAGGTTGTCTGTTCAGTGTATCCTAGAGGCTATATGTTCAGTGTATCCTAGAGGTTGTCTGTTCAGTGTATCCTAGAGGCTATATGTTCAGTGTATCCTAGAGGTTGTCTGTTCAGTGTATAATAGGGGTTGTCTGTTCAGTTTATCCTAGGGGTTGTCTGTTCAGTGTATCCTAGGGGTTGTCTGTTCAATGAATCCTAGAGGTTGTCTGTTGAGTGTGTCCTGGAAGTTGTCTGTTTAGTGTGTCCTAGAGGTTGTCTGTTTAGTGTGTCCTGGAGGTTGTCTGTTTAGTGTGTCTTGGAGGTTGTCTGTTTAGTGTGTTCTAGAGGTTGTCTGTTCAGTGTATCCTAGAGGCTATCTGTTCAGTGTATCCTAGAGGCTATCTGTTCAGTGTATCCTGAAGTTTGTCTGTTTAGTGTGTTCTGGAGGCTGTCAGTTTAGTGTGTTCTGGAGGTTGTCTGTTTAGTGTGTTCTGGAGGTTGTCTGTGTAGTGTTTTCTGGAGGTTGTCTGTTTAGTGTGTTCTGGAGGTTGTCTGTTTGGTCTCTCCTAGAGGTTGTCTGTTTAGTGTGTCCTAGAGGTTGTCTGTTTAGTCTCTCCTAGAAGTTGTCTGTTTAGTGTATCCGAGAGGTTGTCTGTTCAGTGTATCCTAGAGGTTGTCTGTTTAGTGTATCCTGGAGGTTGTCTGTTTAGTGTGTCCTGGAGGTTGTCTGTTCAATTAATCCCAGAGGTTGTCTGTTGAGTGTGTCCTGGAAGTTGTCTGTTTAGTGTGTCCTGGAGGTTGTCTGTTTAGTGTGTCTTGGAGGTTGTCTGTTTAGTGTGTTCTAGAGGTTGTCTGTTTAGTGTGTCCTGGAGGTTGTCTGTTTAGTGTGTCCTGGAGGTTGTCTGTTTAGTGTGTCCTGGAGGTTGTCTGTTTAGTGTGTCTTGGAGGTTGTCTGTTTAGTGTGTCCTGGAGGTTGTCTGTTTAGTGTGTTCTGGAGGTTGTCTGTTTAATGTGTCCTGGAGGTTGTCTGTTTAGTGTGTCCTGGAGGTTGTCTGTTTAGTGTGTCCTGGAGGTTGTCTGTTTAGTGTGTCCTAGAGGTTGTCTGTTTAGTGTGTCCTGGAGGTTGTCTGTTTAGTCTGTCCTGAAGGTTGTTTAGAATGTCCTGGAGGTTGTCTAGTGCATCCTAGAGGTTGTCTGTTTAGTGTGTTCTGAAAGTTGTCTGTGTAGTCTGTCCTGGAGGTTGTCTGTTTAGTGTGTCCTGGAGGTTGTCTGTTTAGTGTGTCCTGTAGGTTGTCTGTTTAGTGTGTCCTGGAGGTTGTCTGTTTAGTGTGTCCTGGAGGTTGTCTGTTTAGTGTGTCCTGGAGGTTGTCTGTTTAGTTCTGTCCTGAAGGTTGTTTAGCCTGTCCTGGAGGTTGTCTAGTGCGTCCTAGAGGTTGTCTGTTTAGTGTGTTCTGAAGGTTGTCTGTGTAGTATGTCCTGGGGGTTATCTGTTTAGTGTATCCTGGAGGTTGTCTGTTTAGTGTGTCCTGGAGGTTGTCTGTTTAGTGTGTTCTGGAGGTTGTCTGTTGAGTTTGTCCTGGAGGTTGTCTGTTTAGTGTGTTCTGGGGGTTGTCTGTTTAGTGTATTTTGGAGGTTGTCTGTTTAGTCTGTCCTGGAGATCATCTGTTTAGTGTGTTCTGAAGGTTGTCTGTGCAGTATGTCCTGGAGGTTATCTGCTTAGTGTGTCCTGGAGGTTGTCTGTTTAGTGTGTCCTAGAGGTTGTTTGTTTAGTGTGTTCTTGAGGTTGTCTGTTTAGTGTGTTCTGGAGGTTGTCTATTTAGTATGTCCTGGAGGTTGTCTGTTTAGTGTGTTCTGGAGGCTGTCTGTTTAGTGTATTTTGGAGGTTGTTTAGTTTGTCCTGGAGGTTGTCTGTTTAGTGTGTTTTGGAGGTTGTCTGTTTAGTCTGTCCTGGAGGTTGTTTGTTTAGTTTGTCCTGGAGGTTGTCTATTTAGTATGTCCTGGAGGTTGTCTGTTTAGTGTGTTCTGGAGGCTGTCTGTTTAGTGTATTTTGGAGGTTGTTTAGTATGTCCTGGAGGTTGTCTATTTAGTGTGTTCTGGAGGCTGTCTGTTTAGTGTATTTTGGAGGTTGTTTAGTTTGTCCTGGAGGTTGTCTGTTTAGTGTGTTTTGGAGGTTGTCCTGGAGGTTGTTTGTTTAGTGTGTTCTGGAGGTTGTCTGTGTAGTCCGTCCTGGAGGTTGTCTGTTTAGTGTGTTCTGGAGGTTGTCTGTTTAGTGTGTTCAGGAGGCTGTCTGTTCAGTGAATCCTAAAGGTTGTCTGTTTAGTGTGTTCTGGAGGTTGTCTGTGTAGTGTGTTCTGGAGGTTGTCTGTTTAGTGTGTTCTGGAGGTTGTCTGTTTAGTCTCTCCTAGAGGTTGTCTGTTTAGTCTCTCCTAGAGGTTGTCTGTTCAGTGTATCCTAGAGGTTGTCAGTTAATGTGTCCTAGAGATTGTCTGTTTAGTGTATCTGAGAGATTGTCTGTTCAGTGAATCCTAGAGGTTGTCTGTTTAGTGTATCTGAGAGGTTGTCTGTTTAGTGTATGCTATAGGCTGTCTGTTTAGTGTTTCCTGGAGGTTTTCTGTTTAGTGTGTCCTAGAGGTTGTCTGTTTAGTGTGTCCTAGAGGTTGTCTGTTTAGTGTGTCCTGGAGGTTGTCTGTTTAGTGTATCTGAGAAGTTTTCTGTTCAGTGTATGCTAGACGTTGTCTGTTTAGTGTATGCTATAGGTTGTCTGTTTAGTGTGTCCTGGAGGTTGTCTGTTTAGTGTGTTCTGGAGGTTGTCTGTTTAGTGTGTCCTGGAGGTTGTCTGTTTAGTGTGTCCTGGAGGTTGTCTGTTTAGTGTGTCCTAGAGGTTGTCTGTTTAGTGTGTCCTGGAGGTTGTCTGTTTAGTGTATGCTATAGGTTGTCTGTTTAGTGTGTCCTGGAGGTTGTCTGTTTAGTGTGTCCTGGAGGTTGTCTGTTTAGTGTGTCCTAGAGGTTGTCTGTTTAGTGTGTCCTGGAGGTTGTCTGTTTAGTGTGTCCTGGAGGTTGTCTGTTTAGTATGTCCTGGAGGTTGTCTGTTTAGTGTGTCCTAGAGGTTGTCTGTGTAGTGAGTTCTGGAGGTTGTCTGTGTAGTGTGTTCTGGAGGTTGTCTGTGTAGTCCGTCCTGGAGGTTGTCTGTTTAGTGTGTTCTGGAGATTGTCTGTTTAGTGTGTTCTGGAGGTTGTCTGTGTAGTGTATCACGGAGGTTGTTTGTTCTGTGTATACTGGAGGATGTATGTTTAGTGTATCCTGGATGCTGTCTGTTTAGTGTATCCCAGAGGTTGTCTGTTAGTGTATCCTGGAGGCTGTCTGTTTAGTGTATTCTGGAGGCTGTCTGTTTAGTGTATTCTGAAGGTTGTCTGTTTAGTGTATCCTGGAGGCTGTTTAGTGTATACTGGAGGTGACTGTTTAGTGTGTTCTGAAGGTTGTTTAGCCTGTCATGGAGGTTGTCTAGTGCGTCCTGGAGGCTGTCTGTTTAGTGTGTTCTAGAGGTTGTCTGTTTAGTGTGTTCTAGAGGTTGTCTGTTTAGTGTTTTCTGGAGATTGTTTAGTCTGTCCTGGAAGTTGTCTGTTTAGTGTAACATGGAGATTGTTTAGTCTGTCCTGGAGGTTGTCTGTTTTGTTTGTCCTGGAGGTTGTATGTCTAGCGTATCCTGGAGATTGTCTGTTTAGTCTGTCATGTTGGTTGTCTAGCCATAATTTTCTTGGTCAGTCTCTGACTCTTTTTCCTAATTTTTTGAAGTCTATACATAATATACAAAAAGCCTCATCTATACATAGTATAGCTGTATACATGTATGAGCAACCTCATGTTGTAAACATGTACAAATTACCTAATCAACACATGGTATTGTTACACACATGTGCAAATTACCTCATGAAGACATGGTATTGTTGTACACATGTACGAAATTACCTCTTCAAATTATGGTATTGCTGTACACATTTAAAGCAACCATACCAGGCGTGGTACTCAAGTACACATATATAATTAACCTCACCTAGATGGGTATTAATGTGGTAAGATATAAGATTGAACAGGTGAGGCATAAGATTAAACAGGTGAGAAATAAGATTAAACAGGTGAGAAATAAGATCAAACAGGTGAGAAATAAGATTAAACAGGTGAGATATCAGATTAAACAGGTGAGGCATAAGACTAATTTTATATTTGCTGACCTGCAAGACATCTAGTAACAAGCCCAACTGGCAATATAGGGTCCATTAAACTGAGGAGCCTGGCTGGTGATGGTGTGTACCTGGCCACGGTGCAAGGGTAGACTAGCAGAATGCCGTCTGGAGGACGGATGCCAAAGGAAACAGCTCGCATGGCAGTTGAGATGGCTAAGTTGCCTCCAGCGCTGTCTCCAACAAGGATAATCTTCTCTCCGGTTGATCCTGAACACAACTGATTATATTACATTTAACTAAGTAGACACACATACACACAGATACACCACCATACACATACAGTCACTAAGCTGAGGTGGTGCAGTGGTACATGCCCTCACCTGCTGTTGCTGGGTTCACATTAACTGAGGAAATGGGAGGGGGGGGGGGGGTGTCCCCCCACACAGACCCCTAAAACTCCAGGATCCATTCATCCTCACAACATAAATGCAGGAGTATCTTCAGAAAGGTGTGGTAGGCTATATCAATCCATTTCCTTGGGGTGCCATAAAGGTCTATGAGGTTTTCTTTGGTTGCTGTTGTTTCCACATTTTTGTGCTGTGATCTAAAAATTACTGTTTACCTGCACTGCTTGCTTCTAAATTTCCGTTTATGCAGCTATTGTTTTCTTTGGTTGTGGATTGTGCCTCTGAATGCAAGTTGAGTAGATCATTGTTGACACCAACTCTCTTGGACCTTTTGTGGTTAATTTAAGGGGATTACCATCTTGTCATTTATAATTTCTGTTGGGTCATCCTGTTTGTTCCTACCTCATAACTTTAATTTGCTTATAACAGTTTTTCACAGCACTTTTGTGGTCAGCGTTCAATATTTTGCTGTATTTGGCCATGGTGTTTCTTTGGCGTTTCTGACAACATCTCTGGCTATTGTTCTTGCCGCACTGTATTTTTCAAGATCATCTTGATTTTTGATTTTCGCCCACACCTGGTATCTACATTTCTTCACCTTCACTGCTGTTTTTACTTCCTCGTTCCATCAGGGTGTTATTCATGGTCTTGTGTTTCTCTTCTTTGCCATTCCACAAGTTTCTCTTGTTGCTTCTAGAATTGATCTTTGAACATTTCCCACTCCTCCTCTACTGATTTGGTTTGTTTAGTTAACCTGATAAAATCTTCAGTAATCTTTTAGAGGTATGCTTCTTGTGTGACAGTAGGGCCAGTAGACTCACGAGGTGTCAACCGTCCTGGGTAAAGAGTGATAGCTAAGTTGTGCCGAACAAGGTTGATATAAGAGAAACCTCAATTATCACGGGGGGCAGGAACTCACAGAGAAAACACGCATGTATATAGTTGAGAGCAGAGCAGTCCCGAGTTGAGGACAGTTGTCGAGAAGAATCCAGCAGCTCAGAGCTGTGATATTACTGCCCCTGGGTGGCGACACGTTTGGTGATCATGGTTACTAAAACAAGCAAGTGATTCTACGTACAAAAAGGATGACAGCGTCAGATGTATGCTGGAGGTGGGGTACGGAAAGGGGGGGGGGGGTTATAGAGCTTGGAGTCCTGCAGGTCAGTGTAGAATCTATCAGTAACAAGTTTGAAGGGGACAGACATTTGGTCGGGTCTTAGTGGATCCTTGAGCAAGCTCTACCCCGGGATTCCACATAGAAACCTCATCCGAGAGCTGTACATTATTGCGTGCGCTCTGTAGGAAGCAGAAATATTTAAAACTATTGAATCACTCAGCAGGAAAGCTGACCGGATCAAGAAGGAGTTGTTAGAATAGGAGATCTACCATGGATTATAATGTTTGCAAGAGTGTGAGCGCGCTAGCGAGTGCTTGGAGTATTTGGGTGAGTTTTAACCCCGTATCAAGGTGTGCATATTTTGTTCATTTGGATCATCGTGTTCATAATATAACAATGTTACGCTTCGTACCTGACCTTTGTCATTTACTTCACATCTGGACACATTGGAATTGATTGTTATTGTTATAGGCTTCCTGTTTCATCGTTGGAATTAATCTCTGATTGTTTTACCACACGTGGCGTGTGGCATTTAACATCTTTATGCAGTGCTCGTTGTCTGGTGCCTGATCGCACGTTTCAAATGGGACTTACGCCTCTCAGCATCGAGGGCGCACGTTTCAGACATGTGTCACGTTGCTTCATACCATTTTTTCTGTGTGGGTTGGTAGACCCGAATATTCTTGTAAATAAATGTTGGACAGACAACAGTTGTTGAGTTTTCCTGACAGTATGCTCGTACGCTGTGTACAACAGTTTGTACAAGTCACACTTGGTTATATGTCCTTGTTCTGTAACCCCATATTAGCACACATCATATAGTCTATTTGACTTTTACATTTCAGCTCCGTTCCATTTATACCAAGTATATATGTGGGACTGCCGGTGTTGGAAACAAGAGTTAGTTATGAACAAATAGCTCCTGCTGCAGCAACATTAACTCCGCATATATTGATGGTGCAAATGATCTTGATATTCTTGGGAACTGTCACTTTCATTCTAGTCGGTTCATGAGATCTCTTCAATTTCTACGAGCATTAGATAAGCCACTGTCAGTGTGCTAGACCAGTCGCAGTGTTTTCAGACTTGGTAGAAGGTCACACTTGAACTTTCCACAGAGGTAGAAATTCAGCAATTAATTCAAGATAATGCTTACTCAGAGGATTTGATCATTTACACAGACGGCAAAAGAATTGCTTGGGGTTCTTAGCAAAAGTTAATGGTCGATATTTGGTGCAGGAAAGCCTAGCATATGATACCACAATATCGAGCTTAAGAATGGAGGTGGAGGCGGTCCCTGCAGCTTTCAGCTGGCTAGAGAACACGACACACACACACAGACAGTGATTGTAACTGACTCAGAAAGCATGCTGAGGAAGATCAGGACAGGCATGCTTCGTGCAGAGTGGCATGCTTCACTGCATAAGACACAGGTGAGGAGTATTGTCTGGATTTTTTTCACCGGGAAACACCGGGAAATGAGTCGGCTCTGTGGCTAAGTCGATGCGAACGCTTCATAATGCTGGGGTGCCAGGTTTGATCCCAGTTTTGGCCCATGCGCCTTGCAATGGTTTCGACAGTGGTATCAGGGGGCCAACAGGTCGGGAAGCAATGGCAAACTACTGGACGTAAACTTGCCTAGAGAAACCACACAACAGCCAGGGGCTGCTGGGTTTGTTCTGTAATGTCCTGTAAAGGATACGAAACTAACCTGTTAGGAAATAAACAGGCGGACAGATTGGCTGGCTCTGCACAACATGGTTGAATACTGATGCATGATAAGCAGACCTGGTTAGTGCCTTGTGGGAGAGAGAGCTTGTACAGTTAGGAAGAGCAGATGGATCACCATAGTCGTGAGATTGATGCAGGAGGGAGTGACGAGAGGTTCTGGCAAATGCTCGAGGCTCAGAGGAAAGGCATGATAGACATTTAATCAGAAGGCTACTGGCACCATTAGTATCGGAACTCCTCGATGGCTGCTGAAGATAGGGATGAAGCACTTATGGGAATGCCTCAAGTGCTGTGATGTCGGTTCTTGAATCAACTCAACTCAGCTTAACTCAACTTGAACTAGACTATCACATTCAGACTAGTTTACACAACTTCCACTCTAGGATGTCCAAAACTGATCCCAGTTAGATGCTGGCAGAAAAATAAACATAACCTAGCCTAGCCATCTTGACCGCAACATCTTGACTGCACAAAATGTTCTTCATTTTGTAAAAGGCAGTTTTGGCCTGTCTATTCTATTCTTGATCTCTGTGATACATCTTCCATCGAATGTCATCCTTGTGCCTAGATACTAAAATTTCTGTACTTGTCCTAAAATAAGGCCTTTGATTTTTATTATACATTTAGGCACTATTCTTTTCTTGGAAATCACCATTAAACTTCTGTCTTTCCATTATTCAGTCTGAGGCCCATTGTATCACTTTCTACCACCACGGTATCTATCGATTCCTGTAGTTCTTTCTGACTATAAATGTGAGACATACACACCCAGCTGAACATATAAATGTGAGACATACACACCCAGCTGAACATATAAATGTGAGACATACACAAATGAACATATAAATGTGAGACATACACACCCAGCTGAACATATAAATGTGAGACATACACAAATGAACATATAAATGTGAGACATACACACCCAGCTGAACATATAAATGTGAGACATACACACCCAGCTGAACATATAAATGTGAGACATACACACCCAGCTGAACATATAAATGTGAGACATACACACCCAGCTGAACATATAAATGTGATACATAAATAAATAACTTATAAATTTGAGACATACACACCCAGCTGAACATATAAATGTGAGACATACACACCCAGCTGAACACATAAATGTGAGACATACACACCCAGCTGAACATATAAATGTGAGACATACACAAATGAACATATAAATGTGAGACATACACACCCAGCTGAACATATAAATGTGAGACATACACACCCAGCTGAACATATAAATGTGAGACATACACAAATGAACATATAAATGTGAGACATACACACCCAGCTGAACATATAAATGTGAGACATACACACCCAGCTGAACATATAAATGTGATACATAAATAAATAACTTATAAATGTGAGTCATACACACTCAACTGAACATATAAATGTGAGACATAAGTAATTAAACTGAACATATAAATGTGAGACAAATAATTAAACTGAACATATAAATGTGTGACATAAATAATTAAACTGAACATATAAATGTGAGACATACATACCCAACTGAGCACAGTTTTGTACAGCCCAGGCAAATGCATAGAAGCATTCCTCTAGTGCCCTGGGGAACGGTGCCTCCGGCGCCAAGGAGTAGTCCACTGACAGGATGGGTACATCTATAGTCACTGCCCACTCTCGCAGGTAAACCTGTCGGCACCATTCAATATCAGTTACTGCCTACTTTCACAGGTAAACCTGTCTGTACCATTCAATATCAATTACTGCCTAATTTCACAGGTAAACCTGTCTGTACCATTCAATATCAATTACTGCCTACTTTCACAGGTAAACCTGTCTGTACCATTCAATATCAGTTACTGCCTACTCTCACAGGTAAACCTGTCTGTACCATTCAATATCAGTTCCTGCCTACTTTCACAGGTAAACCTGTCTGTACCATTCAATATCAATTACTGCCTACTTTCACAGGTAAACCTGTCTGTACCATTCAATATCAGTTACTGCCTACTTTCACAGGTAAACCAGTCAGTACCATTCAATATCAGTTACTGCCTACTTTCGCAGGTAAACCTGTCGGCACCATTCAATATCAGTTATTGCCTACTTTCACAGGTAAACCTGTCGGTACCATTCAATAACAGTTACTGCCTACTCTGACAGGTAAACCTGTCAGCACCATTCAATATCAGTTACTGCCTACTCTGACAGGTAAACCTGTCGGTACCATTCAATATCAGTTACTGCCTACTTTCACGGGTAAACCTGTCGGTACCATTCAATATCAGTTACTGCCTACTCTGACAGGTAAACCTGTCGGTACCATTCAATAACAGTTACTGCCTACTCTGACAGGTAAACCTGTCGGTACCATTCAATAACAGTTACTGCCTACTCTGACAGGTAAACTTGTCGGTACCATTCAATAACAGTTACTGACTACTCTGACAGGTAAACCTGTCAGCACCATTCAATATCAGTTACTGCCTACTCTGACAGGTAAACCTGTCGGTACCATTCAATAACAGTTACTGCCTACTCTGAGAGGTAAACCTGTCGGTACCATTCAATATCAGTTACTGCCTACTCTGACAGGTAAACCTGTCGGTACCATTCAATATCAGTTACTGCCTACTCTGACAGGTAAACCTGTCGGCACCATTCAATATCACTTACTGCCTACTCTCACAGGTAAACCTGTCGGCATTCTTCAGTATCAGTTACTGCCTACTCTCACAAGTAAACCTATCAGCCCTTTTCAATTTCACAGGTAAATCTGTCAGCATCATTCAATATCTGAACAGGTTTACTGTAAGATGTTCCCACATTTGAATGTTTCACGGCATCAGGGCAGGAAGAGAGATCTGAAATGGACGTCTCCATATTCTTGAGTACCATACCCTTCATTATAGTCGGTTCGTGAGATCTCTTTATTTTTCTATGAGCACTAAGTAAGCCAATGTCGGTTTGCTCGACCAGTCACAGTGTTTTCAAACTTCCTAGAAGGTCACACAAACTAGACTTTCACATTCAGACTAGTTTAACACAACTTCCACTCTAGGATGTGCAAAACTGATCCTGGTTAGATGCTGGCCAAACATTTCCAAGCCTCGCCATCTTGACTGGAAGACCTGCTCACACACACACACATATATAATTATATGTTGCCACATAAGTACTCCTCCACCATCTCTTTACAAGAGACAAATAAATCCATAAGGAGAACTGTAATGACAAGTAGATATTGATGCAAGATATATAAAAGAAGTACATAAACTAGTATTTCACATATTAGTATAGAAACTGATATTTCACACATTAGTACAGAAACTGGTATTTCACACATTAGTATAGAAATTGGTATTTCACACATTAGTACAGAAACTAGTGTTTCGCACACTAGTATAGAAAGTGGTATTTCACACATTAGTACAGAAACTGGTATTTCACACATTAGTATAGAAAGTGGTATTTCACACATTAGTACAGAAAGTGGTGTTTCGCACACTAGTATAGAAATTTGTACTGCACACATTAGTATAAAATCTGGTAATTCACACATTAGTACTGAATCTGTTATTTCACACATCATTATAGAATCTAGTATTTCACACATCATTATAGAAACTAGAATTCCACACCTCAGTATAGAATCTAGTATTTCACACATCATTATAGAAACTAGTATTCCACACCTCAGTATAGAATCTAGTATTTCATACACCATTATAGAAACTAGTATTCCACACCTCAGTATAGAATCTAGTATTTCACACATCATTATAGAAACAAGTATTCCACACCTCAGTATAGAATCTAGTATTTCACACATCATTATAGAAACTAGTATTCCACACCTCAGTATAGAATCTAGTATTTCACACATTAGTAGACAATGAAACTGATATCTCCCTAGCTACGTGTAACTTAGAGAACCAAGTAACTGATATCTCCCTAGCTACGTGTAACTTAGAGAACCAAGTAACTGATATCTCCTAGCTACATGTAGCTTAGAGAACCAATGTAACTGATATCTCCCTAGCTACGTGTAACTTAGAGAACCAATGTAACTGATATCTCCCTAGCTATGTGTAACTTAGATAACCAAGTAACTGATATCTCCCTAGCTATAGTACCTAGATAACGCGATATAAGGCTAGCAACAAAGTGAAACTCACCTCATGTGATTTGGAAGACTGTGCTACAAATCCCCCTCCATGGATGTGAATAATGAGACCTGAAGCTTTAGGCTGTGTTGAGGGAGGTGTTTTTAGCTTGCTAGATTTTCCTAGTGTGTGCTGCAGAAACAGTAATAACAGTTATGACTCATTTAGGGACAGGTTAAACCCCGGACTTCTAGACTGGCACCCTCATACTTTAACATCCCACCACTCCTCCTCATGAAAATTTATCTCTTCTTCTTCTTGTTCACCGGCTGTGAATTCTGGCAGAAAGTGCTGTTCCTCCATTAGGACTTCTGGCTTTTACCTGGACCGGAGCTTTGCGTGTACATCCATCTTACTGGCTTTTTTGTGTGCAGTTCTAGTTCCCTGCCTCTCCGGCAGATGTACTCCAACTTTGAGGGAAGACATCAAGCCTATCTCTAGGATGGCAGTGACTTGAGCTTCGCTCGGCATGGGCTGCACCTCCAGAAGTCAGCGGGGAGCAGCCCGTAGGTCCAGGACTTTTGTGACCACACTAATAGATTCATTCTTCTCAATCTCAGGTTAGACACCTTTAACGTTGTTTGAACTGTGCACTCAGCACGACAGTATGGAGAAGCATGCGTCAGGCTTCACCTGTCTGGTCCCAACCAAGGGTTGAGCTGCAGTAGCACAGTTTTCCTTTCACTCCCCAGACTTTTAACCGAGGGCTGTGATTTAGTGGTACATTTGGCAAGCTGGCTTTACTCATGTTCCAAATGAGTTTTGATAGATTTTTTTCACCCATGCGTTTGGGGGCGGGCTGATGAGAGCCAGGATGGACACTACACCTCTGGGGGCTGCCAGCTCTGAGATCCCCTGCCAGCTCTGTTATTGCTTAAGACATTATCCATGGTGCGCGATGGGGATGTGCAGCAGGAGTCTTTCATAAGGTTCCATAAAACCAGAACAGTGAAAGGCTGGCGCCCGAGTGAGGTACGGAGTGTCTCCTTAAACACATCACATTGGACTTAACTTTCTCTCACGCCTGTGACCGAAATCACTGAGCCACGAACATTTATCTCAACTTATACACACACTTGGGACCCACTGGTAGACAGTTAAATCTTCTACTGGTTTGCTAGACCCATTGTAGATTCCTGTTTAACATCCCATTTATCCTTGTGAATATATATCTCAACTTATACACATTTGAACAACACTGGTAGACAGTTAAATCTTCTACTGGTTTGCTAGACCCATTGTAAAATGGGCCCAATTCGTGACCCTTTAAAAATAAAGTTTTGTTTGTTCAGACATGTAATTAATGGTGTGATTCAGGTATGCAACCTACCTGTCCGTCCCTCAAGTGTGCAGAGATCAACCTGGTGTAGACATGACCAGGTCCAGTGTGGGCACAAGGTGGAGTAATGAGCACTGAGTCAATGCCAGTTACTAGTGGCAGCTCAAAAGCATCAGGTCCCAGTGTGATGACTTCATTGACTTCCACAGAAGGACACACAAATGATGGCAGCTGCTGTTAGAAGATGACAATTTACACGTGTGTTTAGCTCACTAACAGCCTCCCTGATGACTGCCTGTCTGACAGACTACAACCTCACTAACAGCCTCCCTCATGACTGCCTGTCTGACAGATTACAACCTCACCAACAGCCTCCCTCATGACTGCCTGTCTGACAGACTACAACCTCACTAACAGCCTCCCTCATGACTGCCTGTCTGACAGACTACAACCTCACTAACAGCCTCCCTCATGACTGCCTGTCTGACAGACTACAACCTCACTAACAGCCTCCCTCATGACTGCCTGTCTGTCAGACCACAACTTCACCCACAGCCTCCCTCATGACTGCCTGTCTGACAGACTACAACCTCACAAACAGCATCCCTCATGACTGCCTGTCTGACAGACTACAACCTCACTAACAGCATCCCTCATAAATGCCTGTCTGACAGACTACAACCTCACTAACAGCCTCCCTCATGACTGCCTGTCTGACAGACTACAACCTCACCAACAGCCTTCCTCATGACTGCCTGTCTGTCAGACCACAGCCTCACTAACAGCCTCCCTCATGGCTGCCTGTCTGACAGACTACAACCTCACTAACAGCCTCCCTCATGACTGCCTGTCAAACCACAGCCTCACTAAAAGCCTCCCTCATGACTGCCTGTCAAACCACAGCCTAACTAAAAGCCTCCCTCATGACTGCTCTTCTGTCAAACCACAGCCTCACTAAAAGCCTCCCTCATGACTGCCTGTCAAACCACAGCCTCACTAAAAGCCTTCCTTATGACTGCCTGTCTGTCAAACCACAGCCTCACCAACAGCCTCCCTCATAACTGCCTGTCTGTCAGACTACAGCCTCACCAACAGCCTCCCTCATGACTGCCCTTCTGTCAAACCACAGCCTCACTAAAAGTCTCCCTCATGACTGCCCTTCTGTCAAACCACAGCCTCACTAAAAGCCTCCCTCATGACTGCCATTCTGTCAAACCACAGCCTCACTAAAAGCCTCCCTCATG